ATGGAAATAAAGTCTTTGTAAATAGGGAAGCATGGAGGGGGTGAAGGGAGGGCTAGGAATGGGGAAAAAATAAGAACCATGATGCATCACGTAAAGGCACAAGTTCCCAATGAGAAATGTAAATGTGTTGTATACCTAAAATGTGCCAATAAAATATATATTTTTTAAATGAGGTCTTGAACTCTTTTGGGAAGATATCTAGAAGGGAATACCTGAGTCAAATACAATTTCTAGTTTTAGTATTTTGAGGCATCTCCATAGTGATTTCCATAATGGTACTAGTTTACATTCCCACCAACAATGTAAAAGGTTTCTTTTTCCTACACATACTTGCCAGCATTTGTTATTATTTGATTTCTTAATGATAACTATTCTTTCTGGAGTAAAATGGAATCTCAGTGTTGCTTTAATTTGCATTTCTCTAATCAGCAGTGTTGAACAGTTTTTCATGGATTTACTGGCCATTTGTATGCCTTTTTCTGAGACGTGTCTACCATATCATTTGCCTATTTTTTAATTGGATTTTACTTTCAGTGGTCTAAATTTTTTGAGTTCTTTATATATTCTGTATTTTAGCCCTCTGTGCAAGGAATAGCTGGAAATAATTTTTTTCCCATTCTGTAGGCTATCTTTTCACTCTGTTGGTTGTTTCATGTACTGAGCTAAAAATCAAACTGATCAAAGATTTCTTCTAAAACAGAAACACTTAATCTTCTGGGAGATAAAATAAATAAAACTCTTAAAGACAGATGTTGGAAAAGACTTTCTGAAGAAAAAATTCCATACAAAAAAATCAAGAATCAACAAATGGAATCATATCAAATTAAAAATCTGTGTAAGTGGAGAAAATTAAATAAAGAGTGAATGGACATTAATGCCCTTGTTAAAGAAAAAAATAAGTTCCAGAAATCTCATCTCATTTTCTTTTTTTATCAGTTGTGGTGGCCTTGGGCAAATTACAAACAAAAACAAAAGATACCCCTGAGCCTCAATTTTCTAAATCCCTTATAAATTATAGAATTCTGAAACTTAAATCCCAATTATAATATATACTGATGTGGACAAGCCAAGTATTTCTGTTTGTCTTACAATTAAATATCTTTTACAGAGAAAATGTGGAAGAAATAATACATATTAATAATATAAAAGCAAGTCTTCTAAAGAATAAACTTTCCTGAGTTGTTAATTACAATTGCATTTCCACACTGACCTGCTACTGTTCACAAGCCACTCTGTTCCTTTACTCCATGAAAACTTTGGTTTAGGTGCAGCTTTAGGTTTACACTCTATTATCACCCGGCCTCCTTTAGCAGCCAGGATCTTTTTCTTCATAGGATTCAGTTCAAAAGTTGGAGCCAAAGCTAAAAGGAAATTAAATTATTATTTTTCTCTTTTTTTAACAAACCCAAATATTCTTCCTGTATTATAACATCTTTTATTCCATTTTGATTTGTAGTTTATAGAAAAATGACCCACCTCAGTGAATATGACCAGTTATGAACTATTGCTATTTCACACCTAATACCTTTCATCTTTAATAACTTTTCATAGCATAAAATACACTCAATTCAAATGACAATTCTAAATAACTTGATTATAAACTTACAACCAAATGTTGTATGCAGATTCAACTCAAAAATTGAACTCAAATTCAATTGCTTTGATTCAATTTCAAAAGGAAAGTTATGAAGGACTAGAAGAAACTAAGCAGCACTATAAATACTCAATATGATCACAGCTGATCCTCTCCGCCACACTTGGAACTTACCCCAGGTTACACACCTGAGGATTGAAATCTCCTAAGATTATCTAGTTTTGCAAAGAAGTCACAGGCACTAACAACTTGAATTCACATTTGTATTTAACTCGTTTTGTTTCTGAGGCATGCTCTTTAAATTCAACAATACAGTTCCTCCATTAGACATTTATAGAGCACCGTGTGCAGATACTCTTCAAAATGTTGACAGAAGCAGCATAATCTCTGCCTTCAGAACCTATATACAAACAGCTATAAGAATGGATTCAATCGATCAGCTAAGGAGCGCATGATCCAGCTGCATTTTGCCTTAATCACAAAGTATAGAGCAGTAATTACAAAATCAGGATATGCTCTCATAAACAGCCACTTCATTGACGGAAGCCCTCACTGTCTTCAGGGACCGCACATCCAGCAAGCTGCTGCATCTCCTTGTCCACCAGCAGATGCAAGTGGACACCATCCATCCACTGAACACATTCCCTGAGCCTTGGCCAGAACTTTCCATGTCTTTATCTGGGATTTTTAACCTCTAATCCAGTGATTCTTAAACTTTATCTGTATTTCAGAATCAGATGAATATCCTGTAAAAATATCCACTCAGTAGGCCTGGTGTAGGCCTCAGATTCTGCACTTCAATAAGACCTGAGGTGTTATGCCCAGTGCTGTTACTCAGAAGATGCTTTCTACAACAAGGAGATAGCTTATTTCATTGTCAATTTAGCCTGAATATTGATAGTTGTCAATAAATAAATAAGTAACCAACCAACTTGTGTTGCACATCTAATACAGTGCCAGGTATTTTGTATAGGCTCCATAAAAATATTAGGTGACAAATTGCACATAAAATACAAGTAAGATTATATTTTTTTAAACTGAAGTACATTTAGAAAATAGAAATTTTTCTTGCATTGGTTAATTTTTTAATGAAATAATTAATTTAGTCTGTTCCTTTCTATGTTTTAATATTTATGTGATATTTTGACTTCTAGCAACTGAATCTATATGTTCCTATGTATTTTAGAAGTGGGAAGGAATAGGGGAATGTTTTCCCCTTAATGAAGAAGAAGGAATGATGTATACCTTTTCTCTATTTTTGTTTTCACTGCATCACAGGTACATATTACAAGAATGGAATCTGGCATAGAGTAAATACTCATTAAACATTTGGTGGAAGAATAAATGAATTAAGTAGATAATTCAAGAAGACAGAGAGGGAGAGAGAAAAACAGTAAAGCTTTCTTGATATGCAAGCTTTAATGTTATACAATGTAACGAGTAGATATATCACCAAGAAATTTAGATTTTAGAGACGAAAAATAGAGTATGTTCCTCAGTATTACAATAAGTGACAGGGGAAGTCATAAAAAAGACAGACAATTCTTTTTGAAAAGAGTCTTTAACAATTTCTTAACATTCTCTCATTTCTTATAGTTTTCTTATAGTGTCACTTGACATGCAATATCACGTTTTGAAGAGTTGCCTCTTGGTGCAACAAGAACAAAACTGGCCTCATTGTGTCACTGCTTCATCTTTTTAGTAACCAGTTCTAGAAAATGAAGTCTGACTACCTGGACTCATTACTTACTATCTGATTAAACCTGTGACAACTTCTTCACATAGTATGAAGAAGACATGGTACAGTAAGAGCTTAGTGACAGTAGTTACAATGAAAATAAGGAGAATGAGAAAAATTGTGAGGTGCTAGTGGTGAGAACTAGCTAAGTTGACTGAGCGTTCTGGATGTGGAGAAGGGATTCAGTGGACTCTGCTATTCTTTAGAACTGAGAATCTTTGCGGAGATGTAGGTTTGGGTGGGATATAACAAACTTAACCTCAGTCATGCTAATTTGGGTTGCCTGTGAAGTTACCTAGATGAACATTTCTGTTAGGAAGAATTTACTTTCAGTCTGAAGCCGAGGATAAATTTCTGGAGTAGAAATTATAGGTCCACTGATAATTAATGGGAGGAGAAGAAATTAAATAAGAATGTAAACAATAATAATGATCCAAGAATAGTAATATAGGATATGTGAAGTGTTATGGGAAGAAAACGGAATGGAACCAGAGGACTGGAACTCCAAGAGAGTAAGATTTCTAGGCAGGCAGAGGAAGGAGAGGGAGGAGGATCACGAAGGAGACAGAGAAGTGGTGTGCAGAGTATGTGAGCTCAGAGTTACCAAAGAGGAGAAATGGGTGTTCAAGAATGAAGCATAACTAGATGAGACAGCTTGAAAGAATACATACACACACGTACACATATGTGAAGGTAATGGTGTTGACATCACCTATCAGAAAAAAGAAGAAGGAATTCTGGTGGCATAGGTCTGTAACCCTACCACCCTGGAAGGCAGGGGCAGGAGGACTGCAGTTCGAACCCAGCCTGGGCAATGTAGTAACTTAGCAAGATCCTGCCTTAAAATAAAAAACAAACAAAGGGCTGGGGAGGTAGCTCAGTGCAAAACCTCTAGGTTCAATCCATAATAATGGAGAAAAAAGTAAGAAGGGATGAATACAAATAAGGTAGAGGGGTAGAGTGAAAGGAGGAAAGATACTTTCTCCTCTATGGAGAATATGGAAAGGACAAATATAGTAAAAAGATAGCTTTGACCGAGAGATGGGAAATTGAAATACTTTGTGTAAAAGGCTTTAAGTTTTTAATGCGGTAAGAAAACACTCTAAAAGCAGAAGTCATTGTAGGATTAGGAACTTGAGGACTGGCTTATAGGTTCTAAATAGCATCTGTGGGGTATGAGGCACAGGAACTTGTAAACCCCCAGAGCGGTACAGGCTGGGTCCCATGTAGTGTTGTAACATCAGGCTCCACAGTTACGTGATTTTGCAGGTGGTGCTTAGTTGCTCTAACATAGGAGAGGATAGGTCTTGGTATGTGTAAATTTTGCTTTGTGATTTCAGAAATGTTAAAGAAACAATTATATTCCACATTACTTCAAAAGTGCTATGAATTCAGCTTCTTTGTTAAAAATAAAATGATGCAATTTAATGGAATAAGAATTCACACATTCTTGGAATTTTAAACTAACATGAGAACATTTTAAAGAGTTACTTTTTCTCTACTGACAAGTTCTTTAATGAAAGAAAAGACATACCATTTCATTCTAAACCACATTTCAAAGGTTTTTAACTTTAGCAATTAAAGTGAAACCAAATGTCCTGTATGAATGCTCTGTCATCTTTTGGTATGTAGTTTTCTTGATTATCTTTCAACAAGTTAAAATTATACTGACCCAAGATCTTCAGCTCAGCGTTTGCGTAAATGGCCCCATATGTGTTCTCTGCTATGCACTGATACATTCCGGCATTTTCAAAGGTCACATCATATAGTCTCAGTTCCCCTTTGTGATACTGAAAGCAGTAAAAGTAAAACACATGGTTTTGATAAATTTTTACCAGAAATACTTTCATTTAGGTTTGGGTTGATAGCATTTGATGGAGGTGTTTTATGTTCATTGGCCCCCGCTGTTTTCTAAGAGGTGTAGAGTAGGATTTTTAAGACATGGGGAAGAAAACCCACTTACCATGCCCAGTGGCTCTTGTTGTATTCGTTTTACAGAGGTGAGAGTCTATCTTTTCCCCTCTTGGACCAGCTGGGATATTACAGTGGGGAGGTAGACAAGGATCCCACTGCTGCTACTTGTACCCAGGGCTAAAGGTAGGATTTAAAACGTCTCTCTTACCTCTGTTTCTGTGGGTTTCAGGGAAACAGTGGCAAGTAAAAGGGGGACAATTTCAGGTAGTGGAGATGGATAAGTAGGAAGAAGAGGAAATGTGGAACAAAGGAAAAATAAGGAGAGAGAGAGAGAGAGAAGGTAAAGATAAGATTACAGAAAGTTGTTTAAACTGAAAGAGGATACTTTATGCTGTGTGGTTTATTTTTGCTTGCATTTTTAATGATGTTTTTAAATTCCAGGGTCCGACTACATTTACTCTACTTACTCTCCTGCTATATTTATCTCAGGACCACCCTGAAATGTTGCCTAAATGGAATCAGAGAGAGCAAAGCCCATGAACATACATACCGCATATCCATTTTTCAGCCATCGAATCGTAGGGATGGGCTTCCCTGTAGCCACACAAGGCCAGTAGAGGTCACTGCCTATGTCTACCTCTGTGTCATTGATATGTTCTACCCACTCTGGAAATGCTAGAAAGTAAAAAACATCAGAAATGTCAAGTGCAAATCTCAATACCCATCAGAATCTCAAGAGCATACATACTGGACTTTAATTTTAAAGAATACATCAGTTCTTGTATGTGTCCTGACACCAACCTGAGAGCCACTGGGATTGCATTTGCAGAGGTCTGTACCCTATGCAAACCACACATTATCACAGAATGAGGTCACAGTAATTCAATTAGTAATTATTTTCCTATTTGGAATCTATGTCTTGTTGGAAAGCTCACTCATATTAGATTGATGTCTTTTTCAGTAGAAACCTTCAAATATGTCAAAATGACAATTGAGATTTTAAAAAATTATGTCTCGACTGATTATGACATCACTTTTTCACATTTTGCATAAAGATTTAGGTCTTTTTTCCTACTCTCACAGGTAAATATTGTCTTGCTTTGATGGAGTTCTTATCTATTAACCAGTTTCATATCTTATTGTAGGACTGGAAAAATGGTCTAGTCACTTTACAGTTGAGTGAAATGGATCTCAACCATTATTTGATCAGACCTACTTAATAGCTAAAGAAAATGCTAGGAACATGAGAAAAATACTAAAAATTTCCCAGAAGAAAAAAAGTACTTCTAGGGAGAAAGCACTTGAAAAATCTGATAGTCTCATTGAACATTTCAGTTATCTAAGTAGTCCAAACAGATGTAGGTAAATAAATTAGGGCAAAATAAGACAAAGTAGGAGAGAGTCTCTTGTGGGGAGAAGCACTTTATTTTCACTTTTTTTGAAACTACAAACTTGTGTTATATTCAATTTACTGCAAAAGCAATATACACATCTTGTGGGACATATTTTAAATGTATACAAATTATGAAATGAAAATATTTTTATGATCTTACCAAATGACATCAATATTATGCATATGTTTATGTGATTATATCTTTATACATATTTTATAGTATATATTTATATATAATCTGATTTTGTATATCTTTTACTAATCATTATATTTGTCTCTAACTTGTGGAGATAACTTCTTAATTGAATATTGGCATATATATGTTCATATTGATTGATATAGGTTTTATTTTGTACAAAATTTTAGCAATACTTAAAATAGGAACCCCGTTTTCTGCCTTGGCCTCTCATGGACAACACATGGATGTCACACTGTAAAATACAATGAGAAGAATAAATAACTGAATCACCTTGATACATTATATGTGTGATTTAATTGTGTAATCTTCTGAAAGTTTAATTAGCCCTAAAGATAAAACTTAGTAGATTTCACTAATAAAGGAGAAATAATATTATCTTTAAATTACTTCCTATAATTCCCTGTTCTATCACATTGGTTCTTTGAAAGCATCAGATACAAGTTGTGATCAAAATGGTGAATTTTTGATTTTACAAAACTGTTAATATAAAAAAATAAAAAATAAAAAACCCCCAAAACACCTGTTACTATAAAAGGGACACTGGTATTAATCCTCTTCAAACTATGTCCCCTCACTTTGAATATGCTGTTGTGGCTGCTATGATGCCTTGAATCAGTTCAAAACATTTACCTTTTATGGTCATTTGACTTTAAGACAGAGCTAAATTGGGCTGGGGATTTAGCTCAGTGGTGCCACATCTGCCTGGCAAGCTTAAGGTCTTGAGTTTGATCCAGAGTACCAAAAAAAAAGCCAAGTTGCCCAATGTCAGATTCAGTAAATAAAGTGGATGAGGACACACAATAAATTTTTTTTGAGGATGTTTTCCTTTGAGTGGCACTCAGCAGCAGTATTCACCATATTTTTGGTCATACTTCTTATAGACACTGATGAAAGAGGATTTTGGAACTGCTTCAGAAATTTGGCATAACAATGGAATATATGAGTTCAAAGCTAGGGGAGCTATTTTTAGGGAGTTTAATGGCACTGTGTCTTTTACTATAATAATTTTTTTAAACATTTACTTTATATTTTGATCATAAGTTCAGAATTCTACTGATCTAAGAATCTGGAGTGCAGTTTTCTTAATGTACTAAATAAAATCAGATCCTGGTAGAATATGATGCCTTTATTTTATAAAAATTAAGGTTCTTACTGGAATACCCTTCCCATAAGGAGACCACACCATCTATATTTATAGATGTCAAGTTAATATCAACAGGTCAGTGGCTATAAAGTCTGAAGTCGAAGGAAAATGTCTAGGTTAGAACTCTCAGGGTACAGATCATGTTTAAAATAATGGTCATGGGTGAGATCACAAAAGGGTGACCAAAATAGACAAGAGGTTCAAAGGCCAAACCCTGATCACTGATCATACCAATGTCAGAAAAGCATGTCATTAGGTGGGAACATCAAGAGTGGTATAAAAAAAATTAACAGCGTGGGTTCCAGATGCCACATACTGAAGGATCATGGAAAAAAGGGAGAAAATGTGGCCACTGATGGGGTCAAATTAGAGATGCTACAACTGACCATTGATCATCAGCTTTAGCAATGTTGATGACAAAGTTTTCAGTGTAGAGGTATAGAGGAAAGTCAAATAGGAGTGTGCTTGATAGAGAAGAAAACTGGAGATGGAGACATGTTTAGAGTATGGATGAATCCATCAGTATTTTTACTATCTTTAGGAGAGAACAGAAGGAGAAATGGTGCATTTATTTGCCAAAGTTATTGGACATTAATGATCTTGTTGAAGCCTTAAATATTTATAATATTGTGGAACATTCAAGACATACTCTCAGCCAGAAAAGTTTTAAGTGTTGCCTGAAATATAATCTGATAAAACTCTGTCTTCCTAGATAAAAGTTTACATTAATGTATGAGAATCAAAAATTTATCACTGCCCCCAGCGCCGAGGAGCAGAGCCATGCCCAGTGCACAGGAGGTAAATCTTCTGGGCTGCTGTACTACCACCCCCAGCACTGAGGAGGTGAGACTCTCAGGTGCCAGCACCACACACCCTCCCCCCAATTGAAATGAGAAGACACTTAAACAATTCTCAAAAAACAGACTCCCCAGATCACCTAAAGCAACCCCAAAGGGAAATGAGATGGAACAATCTGATACTCAACAACATGGACCCCCTGAACTGGCAACAAAAGAGGATCTGGAAAAAATGAAATCATAAATAATTTCTCAGATAACAACAGAGATTGAGCCCATAGTGCAAGACATGATTAATAAGTCTAGAGAGGATACAGATAAAAGAAAATAGAGGAGCTGAGGAACATGATGGAATCCCAACACAGGAAACAAATGGAATCCATAAAACAGATGCAAACAGATTTCCAAGAGATTAAAAACTCCATTGAAATTTTACACAGTAGAATGAGCCAATATGAGGACAGAATTTTAGACATAGAAAGTAAGATTGCAATTAGTGACCAGGAAAAGAAAAATTTCTTTAAAATAGTAAGGGACCATGAGAAATCAATCCAGCAGTTCTTAGATGATGGAAAGAAGAAAAACATAAGACTGATTGGAGTCAATGAAGAAACAGGAGAGAGTGAAGATGATATAAAAAAACTGTTCACAGAAGTGATGGCAGAAAACTTCCCAAGGAGGGGAAAAGAACTTGACATACAGA